GGGGAGGAGCAGAGGGAGAGGGTGGGAGAGAATCTTGAGCAGGTTCCATGCCCAGCACAGGGCCCAACAAGCAGGGCTCGATCTCACAATACTGAGATCAGGACCTGAGCCAAAAGCAAGATTCCGACGTTTAACCAACTGTGCCACCCAGGCGCCCCCCACCCCCTTTTTTTTTTAAAGAGTTAGAAGTTTATCAAATACGCCACAAGGGGTCAGTGGGCAGGCCAGCCGAGGAGAGGCAGTCAGCCCAGATTTTTTTTTTTTTTTTTTTTTGAGAGAGAGTATGTTTGTGTGCATGGGGCGTGAGGTGCAGAGGGAGAGAGAGAGAATCCCAAGCAGACTCCATGCCAAGTGCAGAGCCTGACACAGAGCTCAATCTCACCACCCTGAGACCATGACCTGACCTGAAACCAAGAGTCGGGACGCTTAACTGACTGAGCCACTCAGGTGCCCTTTGACTAACTAGAACTTAAAAACTTGAAACATTAAAAAACAAATTAATTAATTTTAGAAAAAGAGAAAGCAGAAAGAAAGAAACAAACAAGCAAAGGAAGAAACGCAGTACTCATGAGCATTCAGTCCCTGTTCCTCCCTCTCCCTAGTCCCTGGCAACCATGAATCCACTTCCCTGTCTCTGGATTTGTCAATTCTGGCCATTTTATATAAATGGAATCACACAGTATATAGTCCTTTGTGACTGTCTCTTTTTACTCAACATGATGTTTTCAAGGTTCATCCATGTTATAGCATATACAGTACTTCACCCCTTCTTATGGCTGAATAATATTCCATTGTATGGAGATAGCACATTCTGTTTATTCTTCAGTTGATAAATATGTGGGGTTTTTCCGCTGTTGGGCTATTATGAATAATGTTGCTATGAACATCCTTGCACAACTTTTTGTGTGAGTATGTGTTTTCAACTCTCTTGGGTAGAATCCACCTAGGAGGGGAATTACTGGCTCATATGGTAACTCCATGTTTAATTGATTGAGGAACTGCCAGACTGTTTCCCAAAGCAGTGGCGCCATTTTGCATTCCCACCAGAAATGTATGATATCATGAATACCATGGGTTCTTGCATAATGATGAATTTCATATTTCACAGTAGTGAAAAGCACCCACTAAGCACCCACCTTATTGCTTCTTCTCAAATTAAGTAAAAATCTTGATTTTAACAAGTGATTTTGCTGAAATGAAGGCAAAATAATTTAAAAATAAATATTTAATAATTCTGAATTCTACTTGTCTTTATTTTATTACCCATCCAACCATCATCAATTATCCGGACATGAGCAATAAATATTAAATGTAGTCATCTTTAAAATGTTGTCAACCTTCAGGTGCCTGGGTAGCTCAGTGGGTTAAGCATCTGCCTTCAGCTCAGGTCATGATCCAGGGTCCTGGGATCGAGTCCCTGTGTCAGGCTGCCTGCTCAGTGGGGAACCTACTTCTCTCTCTCCCTTGGCCCCTCCCCCCTGCTCATGCTCTCTCTCTCTCTCTCTCAAATAAATAAATGTTTTTAAAGATTTTATTTACTTATTTGACAGAGACAGACACAACAAGAGAGGGAACACAAGCAGGGGGAGAGGGAGAGAGAGAAGCAGGCTTCCCGCTGAGCAGGGAGCCCAACGCAGAGCCTGATCCCAGGACCCTGGGATCATGACCTGAGCTGAAGGCAGATGCTTAACCACTGAGCCACCCAGGTGCCCCTAAATAAATCTTAAAAAAAAAAAGTTTAAAAAAATAAATTAAAAAAATGTCAAATTTTATCATCTATAGCCATAGCTTTATACATGTTTTTTGATTTTGTTAATGTAAATATATATTTATCATGGGAGGAAGATAGGATGCTGAATAATTTAGCATCTTGTCAGTTTGACTTTTTTTAAAAGAAATTAGTATATGAATATTCTTCCTGAGATATTATAATTTGCATTTTGTTAGACATATATGACAATATAAGGAGAACTATCTTCATTTTCAAATTATTCTATGCATCCCATTTTAGAGACAAACCATTATTTCCAACCATTCATTATTCTAAGCTCTACAGCCGGTGTATCCTGTCCATTCATGTTTGTACACACGAAACCTAAATTCCAACAGAAGGAACGAGATAGTTCCACACTGCCTTCAGAAAGGCCAAGCCTGGAGTGTTCAGAGAGCAGGAAGAAGGCTGTGTGGCTGGGAATGTGGAAGGAAATGAGGTCAGAGAAGTAATGATGAGGAGGGTGCCCAGATCACAGAGGGCTTCCGAGGTGACTGTAAGGACTTTGACTTTTGCTCTGAGTGAGCTGATGTGCCCGTGCACAGTTTTAGACAGAGATGTGACATGTGTTCTGACTTATGTATTAAAAGGGATCCCTCTGGCTGTTGTATTGAGAACCCACCCAAGGGTGGGAGTGAAGTGGAAACGGGGTTGGCAGGGAGGAGGCTGCTGCAGAAACCAGGGGGAGTGACATTGGCTTGTGCCGGATTTCGTAACAGGAGGTGTGGCTCTGTTTTAAAGATGGAGCCAACAGAATGTCCTAATACACTGGCTCCTGAGAAAACAGGAGTCAAGGAGGCTCCGAGGTCTTTGACGGGAATAGCTGGAAGAATGGAACCGCCTGAGTTAGGGAAGTCTGAGGGTGGAGGGCTTGGTTCTGGGAGCAGGATCAGGGGCTCAGGTCTGAGCTTGGGAAGACAGATGTTTCAAGACATCAAAATAGAGATGTTGGGCAGGCAGTTGATTGCAAGTCTGGAGTTTGGGAGACAAGTTGGAGTGGAAATTAAACTTCAGAAGTTGGGGCGCCTGGGTGGTTCAGTTGGTTCAGCGTCTGCTTTCGGCTCAGGTCATGAACCCAGAGTCCTGGGATTGAGTCTCAGGGCAGGAGCCTGCTTCTCCCTCTGCCCTTCCCCACCATGCTTGCTCGTGCTCTCTCTCTCTCTGAAATAAATAAAATCTTAAAAAAATAAAAAGCAACTTCAGAAGTTGACTATATTCCATAGTTGCTGTTGCTGTGCCCCTCCCCCACCCCCCCACAGCCCCGGTCTATACTGCATGACTCAGAATAATAAATCATGCCTGGCCGCATGACTCTGAACGACAGTGACTTATGTGTGCAGCTTAAGAACATTGTAGTTGTGTGTTAATAGTCTGTCTTTGTGGATTAACTGTTGTGTTCTATAGGGAGACAATACTAGTCTAACTTTTTTTTTAAAGATTATTTATTTTGGGGAGTTGGGAAGGGGCAGAGGGAGAGGGAAATTCAGAATCTGAAGCAGACTCTGCACTGAGCGTGGAGCCTGATGTGAGGCTCGATCCCACCGCCCTGAGATCATGACCTGAGCTGAAACCAAGAGTCGGAGGCTTAACCGACTGCATCACCCAGACGCCCCTCTAATTTTTAACATTGTATCATGACTATATTTTCTAGGAGTCTGGATAACTCAGATAAGATGCCAGCATGACCCAAACATCACCGAATACAAAGACTAAATGATTAAGGTAGTTTCATCACAAACGGGAGGACATGTGTAACTGGATTAGGGAAGTAACCGGAGCAGATCACACCGCACACTGCGCAGAAAGCAGTGTCTGCTTGCGCATGTGCAGAGAGGTATAGGCAAACAGAGACGGAGTCTTACAAGTTCCGCGTAAGGCAGGTGAGCACTTCTAAATCTATCAATAGTGGAGGTGTTTTTGTCTCCCCGAAACATACCAATGCTCAGTAGAAACTAGCAACCACTGAATTGGCTTGGGCACACCACACGAACAAGCAGACATCATTGTATTGTATTGTTCCCTTAAATGCTCTGTAAAACTGAGCACCCTTCTATTTCCTGACTGAGATATTGCAACTCAAATGTCTTGCAGGCTAACCTAACCCTAAAAGGGAAATCCTGATAACAGAAGTGTTGACCCCTTAGGGTGCAAAACCGATTGTATTAGATCTTCCTATAGTTATTCATGCTATAGTTCTTCATCCTATAGTTAGGCAACTGCAGCATGGCGGCAAAGAGAAATGCCCCCCTCCCCCCCCCGCCCCAGCTCTTAGGTACTTTGGTTTGAAAAATAGAGTTTCAATCATCTTCTTAATTTCTGTGACGACTGTAATGAAATCGCAGAAAACATAAAAGATTGCTGATCTTTTATCAAAGACAAACTAGGCTTTTCTTATTTATTTGCATATTTGGCAGGCAGTGCAAATTTAAATTTCGGCCCATCCCATTCAGTCCACGTTTCTTACCAAGGAAAATGAAAAGATCCTACTTGTTAGATGTCCTGGACATCTTATGTACAACATTGCTAAAACAGAGATGTGATTTACTTACCTATGATACTGAGGCTTTCATAATGTGCATTTTGGTCATGTTTCCATTTCTTCAAAATGTACAGAAGCATTTAATGAGATTTTTTACTTGATCACTTGTACTTCATTACATAAAATCTGCTTTGACTTGCAGCTCAGCAAGCCCACATCACGCTGATTCCTGGTGTCAGTCTGATGTGATGCCATCAAGTTCACTACTCTCTCAACAAAAGCATGGACCATGGAAGAATTAGGGTTTTCAGTTTTACCACCACATAAAAGAGAAGGACATCCTCAAGAATGCAGGCAGTTTGGAGAATTATTACTGGAAAAGGAAATAGAAAAAGCAAAACTGAGGATGCCTGGGTGGCTCAGTTGGTTCAGCATCTGCCTTCAGCTCAGGTCATGATCCCAGGGTCCTGGGATTGAGTCCTGCATCAGGCTCCTTGCTCAGCGGGGGTTTGCTTCTCCCTCTCCTTCTGTCTGCCACTCCCCCTGCTTGTGCTTGCTTGCTCTCTCTCTCTCTCTCTCTGACAAATAAATAATATCTTTTAAAAAAAAGAAGAAAAACTCTTACTGTATCAGACAGAAACACGTGGTTGTTTTTTATTCAATAGAGGTAACTTGCTTTTTTTAGTTAGTACTATTGGGTTTACATTCTGCTTTTTAAAAGTCTTGCACTTATGTAGCTTAAGAACATACATGCTTGCCTCGACCCAGTTCCCTGGGGCTGGTGCTCTGCTGGGACTAGATGCCTGGGGGTCGTTCTGGTTCTTCATTTTTCTGGTCTGCATTTCCTCCTTTTCTTCACCAGGCCCCTGCACTGTTGCACCACAGTCATGGTGTTATCCCATGTGGCTTATCCTGGGAAGGATGAGATTTGCCTGTCAGCCCACGCTCTGCAGCAAAGGCAGCTCCAGGGACGGTGTCCAGGCATCTGCCCTTGAGAGCCTCAGGAGTGCAGGTCCCTTCATTACACAAACTTGTCTGTGTCCTTGGCATTTTTGCTGCTTCTTAATACTTTTCAGAGTGACATTCTTTCCTCTGTCCAGCTGACCCAACACACCATGCATCGCATAATTTCTGGCCCATCAGAGAAGAAGGAAGGGATTTGAATTATTTGGGTCTGACCTTGTCTTACACGTCACCATCTCGCTGGTAAATATTTATTGAGTTTCAAAAAGAAATACTATTGTGACACACATCGACTCCCTGGACTCTGAAACCTCTGTAACACCAGGGGCATCAAAGTAGGTTTGACAACTTTCAAACCTTAATTCCGAGCATGTTAATATTATAAAACACAGTCAAACAAAATTGAGGAATTCCACTAGGCAGTGGTTCTCAGCCTTGCCTGCATATTGAAATAGATTTTAAAATTGGGATATATATATCTACCCAGGTGCCCTAAAACTATTAAGTTTTTATGGTAGTTTAATGGGATATATCTATCCCAATTTTAAAATCTATTTCTAAATATATATATATATATATATATATATATATACACAAATATAAAGATTTTATTTTTAAGTAAGCTCTATACCCAACATGGGGCTCGAACTCACAGCCCTGAGATCAAGAGTCACATGCTCTACCCACTGAGGCAGCCATGTGCCCTGCCAGCTTATTTTCTTTCAGGATTATGAATTTCCTTAGAGAATCTGGCCTCTATTTGTACAGATTCTGCTCAAAAGTTTTTCACAGCATAAACCAAGTGCTTACCTACTGAAGGGAGTGCTAACTGAAATATTTATCATTCTTATTCTGATTATCTTTATCAACAAAGTCAGTATGTTCAATGGCAAGCACAAATCCTCAGTTCATCCACCAAAGGTGAAATGGAGACTCTCGATGACATACTCTGCTTTCTGGTTAACACACCCTACCTCCTCACCTCTGCACTCCTTTGACTGGCACATTCTGCCTCCTCAGAATCCTGAGGGTCATCAGCTCACTGGACCACTTCAACATCTGCACATGTACCCCTACACTGACACCTGTCTCTTCCCCACACCGTTCTCAATACTCCCTTAGGTTTCATGCCTACCACTTCTAGTTGGCCTCCTGGGTTGAATGGAGCCATCCTTTGTGAACAGAGTCAAGCATTTTGAAAGCATTCGTGTTACTGCAAAACCTCCACCAATGGTAGTTGTGGTGGGATGCAGTCATGGGAGGCAGCAGTGACGGCAGCAAAGGGAGTTGAGATGATGGTGGCTGCTGCGGAGGCAGCCATGACAGGCTGGGAAAATGGTGGCTGTGGCCATGGGTCTCATTGCAATGAATGGCCACAGGGTGGCTCCCACTGAGTGAACCCCACTGAAGCTGATCTTTGCTGGAGTTTTCTCTCCCCCAAAGCCCACTCTGCCTGTGTGTCTGGCAAACAGGAAGCAGCACGGAAATTAAAATCCCAGCCCCCTAAGTGACCCTGAACAAAATGCCTGATGGGGGTTAGTGTATAAATACCCCCATCCCTTGTGGAGGAAGAGTATGTTCTCCAGTTTCCAGAGTTCCCCAGAGAGTTAAGCTGTTGCCCAGTGATAACTTGCGCAATTGATAATGCAGCCTTGATATGCTGCTTTCCCTTCCTGTCTCACTTCCCTCTGCCCTGCCAGTGCTTTCTGAGGCCATCTCCCAAAAAGCGTTGCCTCAAAATCTGTTTCTGGGGGAACCCAACCTAAGATAGTGCATCATGAACCAAGGATTATGATTCAAGCACAGATGGCACATTAACAAAAGCCAACCCTATGCCAAGCCGTGAAAGTCTCAACATATTTCTAAAGATTGAAACCATATAAAGTGTCCCTAATTCAATTGCAATTAGGCAAGATAACGAGAAAAATCCCCACATGTTCAGAAATTTAAAAATAGTTTTAAACTTCTAAATAATCTGGGATCAATGAAAAATGCAAAATAGAAAAGCTTGCTTTGTGGGGAATTTAAGTGTGTACATTAGAAAAGAAAAAAGGCTAAAAATCAGTGAGCTAAACATTCACTTCAAAAATACAAAATTAAATCCAAAAAAGGTAATTATAAAAAAGATAATTAAGTTACAAACAAATATACAAAGAACACCAGCAAAGCCAAAAGTAAATTCTGGCAAGTAAATAAAAGATTAATAAATTGGTATACCATCAAGATGGAATAAGAAAAAAAAAAAGAGGGCACAAATAACCAATGTCAGAAATGAGAAAGGGGCTTTCACTACAGATTCTGTAGGTCTTAAAAAGATTATATAAGGATATTGTGAACAAATTTATAGCAATTTGAAAATTCAGATTATGTGAAAACTCCCTAAATACAATTCATCAAAATAGACACTATAGAAATAGTGAATAGAAATAGAATAGAATAGAAACTATTCTTAAGATTTACTTACTTATTTTTTCATGAGAGGCAGAGTCCGGGAGCCTGATGCAGGACTCGATCCCAGGCCTCTGAGATCATGACCTGAGCCGAAGGCAGACACTTAACTGAGCCACCCAGGCATCCCTAAGATTTATTTATTTTGAGAGAGAGAGCGAGCGAGCGAGCACACACTGTGGGGGCAGAGGGAGAGGGAAAGAATCCCAAGCGGACTCTGTGCTAAGCACAGACATGATGCCAGGCCCAGTCCCACGACCCTGAGATCATGACCTGAGCCAAAACCAAGAGTCCAACACCAAACTGACTGCACTACCCAGGCGCCCTAAAACTCTTAAAGTTTTTATGGTAGTTTAAATGTGGGCAAAATTCCTTTCAGCCAAAAGCCATTGAGAGGTGGTCTCCCCACACCTTTAATCTGGGTTGGCCCTGTGACTTGCATTGACCAATAGAACGTGACAAAAACGATGATTTTGAGGTTTCCTTTTTTGCTCTCTTGGACCCCTGACATACCACCAGTTAAGGAAGCTGATCTAGCCTACTGGAAGAGAGGCCACTTGAGAGATTCTAAAACGTAGTCTCGACCTGTTTTGTTTGTTCTTATCACCTTCTTTTATTTAATTGGGGGGAGGGGCAGAGGGCGAGGGAGAAACTCAAGCAGAATCCCCACTGAGCATGGAGCCTGACACAGGGCTTGTTCCCATGAGCCTGAGATCATGACCTGAGCTAAAATCAGGAGTTGGGCACTTAACCCACTGAGCCACCCAGGGCCCTCTTGTTACACTCCTTTAATTACATGGAGCAGAACCCCAACTCAAGCTTACCCAAGGAAAGTGGGGTTGGCTGAAAACAGACAAAGAAATCTGAGGACTCAATCCACAGCCCAAGAAAACTGAAGCTGGGAACAGAAAGCCATCAGGACCCAAGCAGCCTTTTCAGAAACCACAAGAACGATCACATTCCTTTCTCTCCCTGGGTTTTCTCTGGCTTGCATCACATGGCTTCTGGTAGCTCCCACAACCCTGACTGCAGGATCCCACCTTAGCTCCCAAGCCAACTGACAAGTCTGTCTTAAAGATCAAATCCCCAGGAGACACTCTGGCTCATTTTTCCAAATCAGAGCACAAGCCTTGGGTTTCCAACAGCCAGTCCAGGCAGCACTGGCCAGTCACTTCTAATTTCTGGAAGTTTGTGGAGTCACCTCCAGGGGGAAGTGGCCTGTCTGAATGGGGAATCTGGGTGCAGGCCCTGGGCACACTCAGCCGGACACGCCGCGCTCTCTCTCCTGCATCTGTGCCTGTCTGCCCTCTGCCCTTTAGGACCTGCCCCGTGCTGGGGAGCAGGGTGATCAACCAGCCGGGCCCACAGAACATGTACTCATGAGGAGAAACTGAGAAGCTGCCACAGCCACTGCTGGTCCTCGCCCACGTCCACTCAGCACTCTTCTGGGTGCTGAACGTTGCTTACTTGATTCTTGGCTACTCTCTGCTCAGGGCTCGTTGATGGCAGGGCACGTGACCACACATGGGGCAGGCAGAAGTGCAAGACGGTCACTGCCCATGAAAACGGCCCCCAGTGACAGACGGGCAGTTGGTGATCTATATCCCAACCTCCTTGCCCCTTAGATTGAGCCCAGCGCCCACTGTGATAACTGGCGCGATAACACACCTTTTACTGGCTGCCTTCCTCTCTGTCTCACCACTCCACTCCCCTGCAAATGTTTCTGGAATCACATTCCAAATATTCTATCTGCACTCCAATTCTCAGGGTTAGATTCTGGAAGAACACAAACCAAGACAGAACAGAAGTCCAGGACAGCAGACTCTAACCCACACTTCTCAGAGCAGCTGTTCCCAGTAATAAAGCCAGTATTTTCATCCCCATTGCTTAGAGCCCATGTCTATCACACAACTGGCTCAAAACTCAGGAGGAAAAGAAGTGTGATATTATTGCTCCCTAAACCTCAAGGAAACACTCAATAAAGACTCGGTAAACGCTCGAGTGGAAGCGAGAAAGAGCCTTTTCCCATGTCTGTGCGGCAGGAGACAGGAAGTGGCTGTTGGCAGAATTAACGAGGAAAGAGGGGTCGTCTTAACCCTGGTGAGCAGGCCCTTCCTAGGCACACTGCGTGAAGCTGGGGCATAGAGGAGCAGGGTTTCCGCCCAGCCAGCTCTCCCCTCAGTTTCCCCTCAGTTGCTGAAGGCAGAAGTCAGTCTGATATACAGAGTCTTTATTTATTGTGAGTCCTGCTGTCCAGAGAAGCCAGACTCCCATCCAGGCCCCTCATGACTCCACCTGGCCACTCTTCAGGACTGGGGGCATCAAGTGGCCAGTTGCTCAGGTCCAGTTTTCCTATGGTTCAAAGAGTCCTCAGGAGGCAGGAAGTGGCTTTGCCTATGGAAAAAACACATGAGCATCTACTAGCACCTATTTTGTGCCTGGCCCTGGGGCCCCCGCTGGGGGAAGTTATGTAGACAGCAGAGGCTGCCCCTGCCAAGTCCAGAGTCTGGAGAGAGAGAGAGGGTATCAGGTGATGGCCTTGGCCATCTGCCATGTGAACACGTCTGACACAGTGAACTGTCACTGGGAGCAGGGAAGGCACCATTTGCTGTATTTACTGAGCACCTGCAGTGTGCCTGGCATTGTTACAGGGCAACGGATGAAGCAGGCACAAATCTCTGACTCTAGGAAGAGACAGGCAACAAATAAACAATAAAAAGATGTCAACTGTCTACAAAGAGAAGTAAATCAGGGTAAAGAACACAGGTGTATGCGGAGGGGGAGGTACAAGGAGCATCTCAAATTGCCAGCTATGTGAACACAAGATGTCTTTGTATCATGTTCTGTGAGATGAGACTGCTTGTATGTAGAGTAGAAACCAGAGGCGGCCCAAATCTCACTGCCTGCAGTCAGGGGGGAAGCTGCAGCAGGGACGCCATCACCCGGAAGGAGGACGGTGAGGAGGACCAGGTGTGGGAGGAATCACTCTGGGTGCACTCAGGAGCCACGACAAGGCCGGAAAGGGGAGAGATGTGACCTCACTTCCATTTTTACAAGGTCCTGTGGCTGCCAGGGGAGAGCAGATTTCGGGGCAGGATGGCCACAGGAAGACCAGGGAGAAGCTGGCTGCTTAACCAGGGCGGGAGCAACGAGCTCTGAGCTGGAAAGGCGAGGCCTTTACTGTTCAGATGCCCAAAAAACTTGAAAGAAAGAACATATGACTAACACAGAGCCAATATACAGACTAAGAAACTAACATGAATAGTACGCAATCATTACTAAATCATTTCTAAGAATTAAAAGTCCTTCCTGCTGGTGTCCGCTCCTAGAGCCTGAACCTCTCACTCATTACTGCCATATTAAAACAAAACAAGGACTACAGGGCCTGGTAGAAGGGCATCTCCCCCATCTTTAACCCAGAACTCAGCTCTGAGACAGGAATGGGAATGGAGCAGTTACAAGGCAGTAAGATATAAGCCATACTGGAAGGAGCTCAGAGACCATGTGAGCCCGGGGAGGGGATGGGCCCACAGGAGAGGTTTTCGGAGGGAGTGGTATCTAAGCCGGAATAGCAAGCAGCCAGGTAGCCTAGGAAGGGCAGTCCAGGCAGAAGGAAACAGCTGGATAAAAGCCTGCCAGCAGGAGAGACATGCACTTGAGTAATTGCACCTTCACCAGGGCCAGAACACAGAGTATGATGTAGAAAGTGGAGAGCGGGGGGTGGGGGCAGAGTCCAGACCATGCAGGGCCCTATACAGGTTGTGTTGGACTTTAGATTTGGCCTGATGGAAGTGAGGAGCCATGGAAAGCTTTTTTTGTTTTTATTTGTTTTTTTAAAGATCTTATTTATTTGACACACAGAGAGAGAGAGAGAGAGCACAAGCAGGGGGAGTGGCAGAGGAAGAGGGAGAAGCAGGCTCCCTGCCCAGCAGAGAGCCTGACGTGGAGCTCGATCCCAGGGTCCCAGGATCATGACCTGAGCTGAAGGCAGACGCTTAACTGAAAGGTTTTTAAGTGAAACAGAACATGGGGTGCCTAGGTGGCTCAGTCAACTAAGCGTCTGACTCCTGATTTTGGCTCAGGTCACAATCTCAGGGTTGTGAGACTGAGCCCCATGTCAGTGTGGAGCCTGCTTAGGATTCCCTCTCTCCCTCCCTCTCTCTCTGTCTCCTCCCCGCTCACACTCCCTTTCTCTCTCTCTCAAAAAAAAATAAATAAATAAAATAAATAAGTGAAACAGAACATGGTCAGATTTCCTTTGGGATGGCTCTGGGACCATCACAGAGAGTGGACTGAAAGTGATAATACAGAGCACAGAGGCTCCAATGAGAGAACGTTAAGAGGGAGGTGGTGCAAGATGTGACTTTTGCCTTAGGAGCGCACAGTCCGGTGAGGGGAGGCAGTAAATATCTAAAGTAGCATTTCTCAGGGCGCCTGGGTGGCTCAGTCAGTTAAACGTCTGTGTTCGGTTCAGGTCGTGATCCCAGGATCCTGGGATCGAGTCCCGCATCAGGCTTCCTGCTCAGCGGGGAGTCTGCTTTTCCCTCTCCCTCTGCCTGCCGCTCTGCCTACTTGTGCTGGCTCTCTCTGTGTTAAATAAATAAAATCTTTAAAAATAAATAAATAAATAAAGGAGCATTTCTCAACTTTGTTTTTACTACTGCTCACCAAGGGGTCTTTTAAGACAGCTTTTAAAAATTGCAGCCATCCATGAAATCTTAATCCCATAGTTATACTGCATATCTGTTTATGTACTGTATACATTAAAGAGAGTAAGACTCATTTGCCCCCTCCTCACCCCCTCACCCAGTACAGCTGAGGGACAGTAAGGAAGGGAATAAGAGAGCAGGTAAGGAAGGAGGTGGTTGAGGTCAGCCCAAGGAAGAACACAGAGAACCCAGCAAGGACCTGGGATTTTGTTCTGTGAATGGGAAGCTACTGAAGAGCTCTAAGCAAATATGTAATGTGAATAGTTTTCAGTTCCTAAATCTTCTCTCTGCCCACTGTGTAGGGGGCAAGTGAGAAGGGATTCAGAGAGTCAGGGAAAAGGCTGGGGCAGGGATCCTGGAGATGAACAGTTCGGGGAGGTGTCTGGACTCAAGCAGGGACTATGGGAAGGGGCAAGAGGTGATCATGTTCTGGATCCCGGGTGCACGGTGCAGGTCTGTGTGGGGCGTAGGGTGGGGCTGAGAATAACTCCCAGGTCTTTATTCTGAGCAACCAGAAGGATGAAGGGGGTGAGAACTGATGAGCCCCCCCCCCCCCGCCTCACCTCCACAGCTGAGGGTGAGTGTGCTGGCCGCACCTGCTCAGCACACTGAAGGAAGCGGCGCACATGCTCTGCACAGTTGCCCACAGCTGCCTCATTCTGTCGAAGACACTCCTCAAAGGCCTCAAAAGGCTCAGCACAGGCCTGGCGGATCTGACGGATGATTGGGCTGTGGAGGAAGGGCATTTCAGGCATTCACACTTCCACTCCACCGCCTCCCCCCTCCCCCCCCACACACCCTGTCCCATTCTTGCCCACACTCACTGGGAGGACGTGCATTGAGCAATACTCATCTTAAGGTGATGACAGTCCCGCTGCCATGACTCAGGCTTGGCCGCCACACACTGGCCATATTGCTCCAGCTCTCGGCCACAGTAGCGAGCAGTGACCTCCAGGGCCGCCTGCCTGTGGGACATGGTGGGCTGAGGATAATTCCAGACAACAGACAAGAAAGGGAGTTCTGATCTTGGTAGGAGGATGGAGCAGGGAACAACACTAGGGATCTCGGGCAGATCCGGGAGTCTGAAGGATCCTGGGATAGAGCCAGGGAGATGGAGGAGGAGGTAAGGCATGAGCCCTGGGGATTGTGGAACAGCCTGGGGGCTTCTGGGAAGATGGTGGAGATCTTTTCCAAAAAAGATTTAATCATTCGAAGGCAAGCCTTGGGGTCCTGGAAGAAGGGTCCTTGAGTTCAGGCATTCCCTCGATAGGGCCTCAGAAGTAAGATCTTGAGTTCTAGGAGAAAACCTGGGAGCCCTAAAGGGGTTTGGAGTTCTAAAAAGAGGTTTAGAAGTCCAAGGGGTAAGGTCTTTGGTCCTGGGGAAGCGTCTATTTGACCAGAGTCTTAAAGATTAGGCCTGAGGACAGGGGTACTGGAGATGAGACTTGAAGCCCTGGGGTGGGTTTGGGGGTCCTAGGGTGGGTCTCAGAGTTCTAGGGACATGATGTGGAAACCCTGGGGAAGGTTGGGGCTCTTGGATAGATCTGGAGGTTCCTACAAGTAAGCTCTTGGGAACAAGATCTGGAAATCTAGAGCGGGACCAGGGGTCTAGGAACAAGTCTGTGGGTGATACAGGTGAGGTCTGGGATACTGTGCAGACCCGAAGGTTCAAAAGGTATGGTTAGGTGATCTAAGGGGATGAACCCGGAGCTCTAAGAACGGGTCTAAGAATCGTAGAGGTCCCGCGACAATTCTGCAGTCCTAGGGTTGGTGGTGGACAGTGCCAGGGGTCCTAGGGACAGCGATTGGGTGGGTGTTAAGGGTGGACCTGACAAGTTCCCAGTTACCACGAGGAAGAGGGGAGGAGTCTAAATGGTCAGGGGGCGGGGCCTGGACACTCGGAGGGATGAGACTTGTAATGGACTGCGCTGAATCCTAAGGGTCGGATCGCCGAGGAACAAAGAAGCCAATCCTTCCTCCCGGAGTCCTGGCGTAGGTCCAGGTCACGGGAAGAGAGGGGGTGCGGCGGCATATCCGGGGTAGGCGCTCCCGCTACTCACATCTCCAGGCCGGTGCCGGTAGGGAATCAGTCAGGGAGGAAAGTCCCGCCTTTTCCGGTACAGGTTGTCATGGCGGCGCCCAAGTCCGCTGTCCTTGCCTCGTTTTTTCCGGTCGCAGAGCCGGCAAGCGGACCATTCCATTCCCTTTAGGCCCAACCTGTCATGGCGGCGCCCTGTCTCTCCTTCCGGCCCCGCCTGTATTGGACGCGCCTGCGCAGCCATCGCGGGCCCCCATTCGGCTCGGTTGCTCTACCCCTTTCTACATCCGGCTTGCCAAGGCCCCGGCGGAATGCACCGGAAATAAGGGATGGGCGCCGGCAATAAGGGATGGGCGCCGCCTCGTGTGCTTCTGTCCTAGCCGTCCGCCCGGAGCTGGTGGCGAGCGGCTGCTCTGGCCACTCAACCTGGCGCCGTTGGTGGCCAGGTTGGGCGCCGTGGCTGCCGGCTGCTGGGCGCGGGGACTGGGAGCCTGACGCCTAGCCACCTCTGTCTTGCGCAGGCGCTCCCCGTCCTTTCGGGATGCTGGTTCGTGCGCGCGCGCGGAGCCGCGGGAAGGGGGCCACCGCAAGAGTGGGACCAACCGGCCTGGACGTCCCTTCGGCTCAGCCTGGGTTACCCAGACCAGGCCACCTCCTTCTTGGCATAAACCCTGGGGCCAGGCCGGAGTTGAGTGTTAATATTGGCTCCACGTCATTATGGGCATGTGTAGTTCTAATTCCTCCTGGTGGGGTACCGTTTCCATCTCTTGATCTGTCCTCCGGTGTGAGGCCTGGGGGTACGTTTTCCCCTCTTTGAGGTTGGGCGCGAGTATCCCATGATCAGAGAAAAACTAAGCATCAGCCCAGCCATCTAGTATGTGGATGTCTTCCCAGACTCCAACCAAAATGAACACAAAATGCACTTCATCATAGTGTTGAGGAACAAGAGCTATTTGTGAGCAAGTGTGCTCATCTGTAAATGGGGATAATGATAGTGAGATCCTTTACATAGGGCAGAGTGCCTGTGAACAGTTTAGGGCAGAGCGTGGACCCTCAGGAGTTCTGGATAAGTGAGACCTGTCACGGGAGCCTGTTACTGTGAGCTGTTCTGGTTGGCCCTTGACATATGATTGCCCCACTGACCATCCGAACCTGCCTCGGATGACAGGAGTAGGTTTGGAGCTATGGGCACCGAAGGAAAGCTTTTCAACCAAAGCCCTCCTATTCTTCCTTCTTGCAAAAACTTCCAAGTGTGGGGGCGCCTGGGTGGCTCAGTTGGTTAAGTGATTGCCTTCGGCTCAGGTCATGATCCCGGAGTCCCGGGATCGAGTCCCACATCGGGCTCCCTGCTCGGCAGGGAGTCTGCTCCTCCCTCTGACCCTCTTCCCTCTCGTGCTCTCTATCTCTCATTCTCTCTCTCTCAAATAAATAAATAAAATCTTTAAAAAAAAAAAAAAAACTTCCAAGTGTGTATTCTTGGTGGGAGAAGCGGAGGGGGGGGGGGAGAAGCACACCCTCAATGACAGAGAACACTCTGGCTTCAATTGTGGACTGAATCCTCATATTTTTCTCTCCTGGGAAAATGAAATCTTAACCTGTCCCTTGGCGCTTCCTGAGTCTTATCTCAAAGTCCCTGTAATGTGCTTCCTCAAGAGAAGGTGTTCAAACGTGGGCTCATTAGTAGGTACGATGAAGACCCCAAGAGGAGACACCCACTCTGGGAAGTGTGATACCTGTGCCTCCAAGCTTCTAGGTTGTTTTTGGGCTGTAGCTCAAGACTAACTTCCTCTCTAGGGATCAAATGCAAGGCAGACCTATGGAGTGAAGGCGACCTGGGTTTGAATCGGAGATCTTGGACAGAATCTGCTCTCTGGGTTTCAGTTTCCTCCATGACAGCTGCTTCAGGATGCCCTTGTGAGCAGAGACTGAAATGATACCTGCAGAGCACATGGTGTGGAGCACTTTGTACTTTCCTTTTTCTAGCCTTATCAGAATTTGTTACTGTATTTGCTTATTTTCTGCCTTCTTCAAGACCCATGAGGGAAGGGGCCTTGTATCTGTCTCATGGTCACCGCTGGATCCCCTCCATAGCATGGGGTCTGGCAGAGTAATAATGGGACAAATGAAACCATCTGCTCACAGGATTGCATGAGGATAAAATGAGATCCACTCATTGACTCGTATGATACTTAAGTGCTATATATGTGCCAGGAACTGGGGAAACAGCAAGTAAAAGACCAAAATTCATACTGCTAAAAAAGGTGTACAATGGGATGTGTTGGTATACATAGGCATAGTGAAACGATTACCGTAGTAATATCCACCAGCTCACGTAGTTAACATTTTTTATGTGTGATAAGGACATTTAAGATCTAATCTCTTAGCAAATTTCAAGTACACAATATGTTATTATTATCTAATGCTATACATTAGGTCTCCAGAACTTACTCATCTTAATAGAGTTTATACCATTTGACCAATATCTCCCCATTTCCCCCACACTCCAGGCCTGCCAACCACCATTCTGTTTCCGTGAGTTCAACTTAGATTCCACATATAAGTGAGATCATGTGATATTTGTCTTTGTGCGTATTTCACCGGGCATATAGTCCCTCCAGGTGGGGCATGTCAGACTTGATGAAGGGCAGGGAGTATGATGGGTGGATACAGGGTGGTGGGTGGGAGGATGCACTTGTAGAATGTGACCTGGAGGGAGTTGTCCCGTGCTTCGATCCCTGGCCAGACTGAGAGCCTCCATGAATGGCAGCACAGAAACGACTTTGACCAGATGACCCGTGAGCTGGCAGCAGCGAGTCCTGACCCTTGACCCCCTAAAGGGGCCATGTGGCAGGAAGGGATGGCGCCTGGGTGTGTCAGGGATTTCCTAACGGTGTTATGAGAAGAGTGTTGTTGACTAGGAGAGGGTCTCCAGGACTCCTGAGGGCTCCTTCCCTCCCCTCAGTGGCTTCACTGCCACCTTCATCTGGGTTTTTCTTTTCTAGAAGCTCTCCCTCTTAATCTTAAGTTTATAGAATATGATGGGTGGGAGGCACATCCTGATGAGCCCAATACATAAAATCTCCAAGCTGAGGATGGCAGTGAGCACGCTTTTCCAGCCACATTACATCTTTTCTCACTAGCCAGGTGGCTAGTGACCTAGAGCTTCAGGATCATTCCTCCTCTGGAAATAGTAGCACAGAAATTTGTTAGAGGAAACAAGATACTCTGACTCTGAGGGGGTGTCCCAGCTCTTGACTTCTTTTTTTCTCCTCATTAAGCTCCTTAGTTTAAAAAAAAAGAGAGAGAAATGAACACTTTGCTTGAAGCTTAACTTCCACTTTCTCATTAGTGTCTCTTGGATCCTATGCCTCCCAGATCTATTCTTCCAGAGCCCAAAGCCTTAGGATTCCTGGGAACTGCAATGAATCCCATCCCTTCCTCCTGCTTCTGGATTCCAGCCATTTGTTAGTCTAGGCAAGGGCCGGTGGGGCTTGGAAAAGGGTCCACTTGTTGGGTCCTGCCGTGCTGTGCACACAGGCCTGTAGTAAGGGTGCTGCCTTCCCTCTGGTGCTGGGTGAGGGGAGGGCTTGAGAGGAGGGGAAAGCCATGGGCTCTGCCCTAGAGGAACTGACAAAAACACCAGCTAACAACCTTCCTACCTGATGATGGGTGTGAGGCAGCAGAACAGGGTGTGGTGCCCTCGTGATGAGGTCTGCTCGGCTCTATTCTGCCCCCCGGGGACTGGTCTTAGGCAAGACGGTGACAGCTGACCCAGGACAATTCCTTTATTCCCACACTGGACGGCTGCCTGAGACTGAGATTCCAGTGGGCCTGGCCACCCCCGCAGCACTGTGTGCGCCTTCCTCATCCACTGCAGGTTCGTGGGGTCTGAGGTGTAGGAAATGCAGATTCCGAAGCTGCTGCTGCTGAGCGCATCCCAGTGCTGATCTCTTCCAGGTCCTCGGGAGCTGTGGGCCACAGGCTGAAAGGGAGGTGTGCAGAAACCGGTCCCAGATAGAGGACACTGCCCTCACTTCTTGGCTTTGCCTCCAAGACGTGGCATTTGATGTTTCAAATAGAACACTGCACCACTTGGGAAGGGTTAATTGAGTTTCCCTTACAGCCAATCTGGGCCTCCTCACCAATCTCAGTATGACCTTCTGTCCACATGGAGGCATGGCACATTTAGAACCCATGCTAATCTGTGCTCTGTAAGGAGCTGAGCCTCAGTGGGATTGGCTTCCTGAGGTTGCTGTAACAAACTGCCACAAACTGGGTAGCTTAAAACAACAGACATGCATTTTCACAGTTCAGGAAGCCGGAAGTCCAAAATCGAGGTGGGGGCAGATTCCTGCTGGAGGCTCTGAAGAATCTGTCCCATGCCTGTTTCCCAGCTTCCGGTGGTTACAGGCAGTCCTTGGCATTCCTTGGCTGGTAGACACATTACTTACATCTCTGCCTCTGCTCACATCACCTTCTCTGTGTGTTCTTTTAAAGGACACAAAGGCCAAAACCCCAAGGGGAGCCTTCACCTACATCCCTTTGCCACAGGCTGCACCCTGTATCATTGTCAGTAACGCAGTTGAAAAGGCTCACCAGGACTAGCTGGTCAAAGGGGGAGGGCAGTGTGGACAGCCTGCTGGAAGGGGGTCTGAAGAGCTCCTGCCTGGACCAGCTCTTCCATTGGTGCGGTGGGCTCTTCCCCACATCCTGTGCTGCCTCCCCCACACCGCAGGGCTGGGCTGGGGCACCTGCTGGGTCCCACAGAGATACTCAACCCACTGGCACTGTCTTCACTGTAGATCTGCCCCACAGGAACACTTCTTACCATCAAAAGAAGTATCACACATACTTGAAACATCTATTCGTATAATACAACTTGCAGTACCTGTTACAACCACTTGGGTGTATGGAGTGTCCATTAAATAAAACAGGTTAGTTTCAAGGACCACAGTGGGGCAATTCATTTTTGTTGGATCATTTTTTTTTTTAGATTTTTATTTATTTATTTATTTGATAGAGAGAACACAAGCAGGGGGAGCAGCAGAGGGAGACGGAAGCTCTCCACTGAGCAGGAAGCCAAATGTGGGGCTCAATCCCAGGGCCCTGGGATCATGACCTGAGCCGAAGGCAGATGCTTAACCACCTGAGCCACCCAGGCGCTCTGGATCAACATTCTTAACAGAGACAAGTTATTTATTCCATCTTGTGTGTAGTTCTGTTCTTTCATTAGGAAACTTATAAACAATACAGAAACTTATAAACAATACAGAAATATAACATACAGCCCTATTTTATTGCAGTTTTTAATCTATTCATGTATTATTCAGATAATTAACCTATTGTTCAATTTTTTTTAAGCTTTATTTGACAGAGAGACACAGCGAGAGAGGGAACACAAGCAGGGGGGAGTGGGAGAGGGAGAAGCAGGCTTCCCGCGAAGCAGGGAGCCAGATGCGGGGCTTGATCCCGGGACCCCAGGATCATGACCCA